CTGCTACACAGCAATGGCCTCCCAACTCTGTTTTTGCTAACTTTAAATAATATTGTGCATTAGTAAGTGGTGTAAAAAACAAAAATGCAAACTTTGAGTTGTATATATCTCTTCATTCACTATTATTTGAACAAAGAATGATAAGGAGGTAAATTTAAATCTTTAGGAATAATGTAATTATCTGGAAGACTTCTAGATCAGCATTGTCCGACTAAAATATATACGAACAACTTATATAATTTTTGATTTTCTAGTAGCCACATTTTAAAAAAGTAAAATGAGGCCAGGGGCAGTGACTCACGCCTATAATCTTAGCACTTTGGGAGGCCAAGATCGAAGGATCACTTAAGCCCAGGAATTCAAGACCAGCCTAGGGAACATGGTAAGACTTCATCTCTACAAAAATTAAAAATAAAATTAGCCTGGTGTGGTGGCATGGTCCCAGCCACCCAGGAGGCTGAGGTGGGAGGATGACTTGAACCCAGGAGTGAGCCATGATTGAGCCACTGCATTCCAGCCTCGGTGACAGAGTGAGACCCTGTTTCAAAAAATACACATAAATTTAAACTAAAAAAAGTAAAATGAAACCAGTGAAAATAATTTCAATGAGATATTTTATTTAACCTACTCCCAAATATTATTTCAGTACACAATATAAAAATTATTAATGAGGTATTTAATTTCATGTTTTTAGTTTCATACTAAGTCACTGAAAATCTGGTGTGTATCTTACATCTCAATTCAGACTGACTACGTTTATTCTGTTTGAGTCAGAGTCTCACTTTGCCACCCAGGCTGGAGTGCAGTGGCACGATCATGGCTTACTGCAGTCTTGACTCCAAGTAGCTGGGGCTGGAGGCATATGCCACCACACCCAGCTATATTTTTGTATTTTTTGTATTTAAGATGGGGTTTTACTAGGTTGCCTAGGCCAGCCTCGAGCTCCTGAGCTCAAGTGATCCACCTGCCTCAGCCTCCCCAAGTGCTGGGATTATAGGCATGAGCCACCACACCCAGCCTGACTGTGTTTCAAGTTCTCAGTAGCCCCATGTGGCCACTGGCTACTGTATGGAGTAACGCTGCTCTAGAGATAAATATTAATAATTGGTGAGTTGCATTAGTATAGGCCAGACAGGGTGGAAATCTTAAAATTATTTTGAGGAAAGTGAGAACAAGGCTAGACGGTTTTTATGATGTACATTTTCTTATGTGAGGAAACTATAATTATCTTCTAAGCAATGATTCACCATAAAAAACGTTATCCATTAGCAAGTGTGGTCTCATATTACATGCCATTATATGACCTGACTTTAAATGTTTCACTTCTGTCATTGGTAATTTTGGAAGGTCTTTAGTTTGGGGTGGTAAGCTTGGCTAAATACTGTGGACACCAAACTTCTGAAATTGTCTATTTTAGAAAGTGCCTGGTTGGCAGCCAACTGTATGTGGACTGGTATTGGAACATATGAAGCTTTCCCTGTGGCAGTGCCCAATCCATGTTGCTATTTAAGATCTACTCATGAAGGGGGTCCCTATTAATCTGAGTTTTATATCCCACTCTTTCCCACCTTTGGAATTTCTTTTTTTTTTTTTTTTTTTTTGAGACAAAATCTCACTCTATTGCCCAGGCTGGAGTGCAGTGGTGCGATCTCAGCTCACTTCAGCTTCTGCCTCCCCAAATTCAAGCCATTCTCCTGCCTCAGCCTCCTGAGTAGCTGGAATTACAGGTGCCTGCCACTGCACCCAGCTAATTTTTATATTTTTTTAGTAGAGACGGGGTTTCACCATCTTGGCCAGGCTGGTCTTGAACTCTTGACCTCGTGATCCACCCACCTCAGCCTCCCAAAGTGCTGGGATTACAGGCATGAGCCACCACATCCAGCCTTTGAAAGTATTTCTAAAAACATTGTCATTTCTAGCAGCCCAACTAGACTTTTCTAAAAGCAATTTTTTTCCCTCTTTAATCCTTCTATCCCAATATTGGTTATATAACTTGGAGTGAAAGTAAGTAGAGAAAAGAAGTGATGATAAGAAAATATGTCTCTGTTGTGCCCGTTTGTCACTAGTCCTGATCATGAATGTAGTGAGTGCCAAGGGTTTCATAACTGTGTGACAGTTTTCTGTTCTGGAGAGATTGATTCTTATCCAGTTAGAAAATCAGAACTTGCCCTGGAGACAGTGTGTCCAGATCTATGGGGGGTAGACCCTTCCAGATGTCTTGGCCTTTCAAGTTTTTTGACACTAGGGACTGGTTTTGTGGAAGACAATTTTTCAAAGGATGAAGGGTAGGTTGAGGTGGTGGGCGTGGGGAGTGGGGATGGCTTCAGGATGAAACGGTTCCACCTCAGATCATCAGGAATTAGATTCTCATGAGGAGTGGGCAACCTAGATCCCTGGCATGCGTAGGTCACAGTAGGGCTCACACTCCTTTGAGAATCTAATGCCGCTGCTGATCTGACAGGAGGCTGAGCTGAGGCAGTAATGCTCGCTTGTCCACTGCTCACCTCATGCTGTGCTGCCTGGTTCCTGACAGGCCGTGGACCAGTGGTACTGCACCCCTGTTACAGAGTACATCCAACTTATGGTTAGTCCCGTATCCTAGCCTCATTGGACCCTTGGGATCTCAAAGTATCTTCAGATACTTCCCAAGCGAGTGTCCGTTTCCTACAGCGAGATCAGCCTGATGGTCATGGTGATGGTGGATGCGAATGGAAAGAAAACTCTGTTGTGTCCGCTCCTACTTTGGACTGCCCATGACTTTCTCAACACCAGTCCCAAATGTGAGCAAGCATCCTTACTGTAAGCGTACCTAATTGCATGACTGCTGCTTGGATTTTTGCCACACTCAGGTTGGATCGGGCTTTCTAGGTCAAGTGCATGCTAACTAGTATAACCAATTCATGTTTTATAGGCCACGAAGTTGTTATAGAACAAGGAGGAAGAATATTGCAAAAGCTTTAAAAATTTGCAGCAAACTCTAGCATGTGGTAGTGGTTATGCAGACAAACTGCTCATTTTCCACACATCTTAGCATTCCTTCTTGACTCGGAATTCTTTCATTTTATCTTCATAACTTTAATATTTGCATCATAAGTTAGTACTAATATTTGTCATAAATATAAATTATCTAGAAAAAGTCAGTATGTTGAAGAACAGGCTTGATGGATTCTTTATATTCTAAAAACATTAGTACCAAGTGTTTAATGATCTTTATTATAGAATCAAACCAAATTTACGTGACTATTGAAAAACGATCGTTACTATGTATTCTTTTTTACTGTGTTTGTCACATTATAACCTTCCAAACATAAGTTTCTCTCTTCCGTTTTTCTAATGAAACCTGTAAACATGTTTCTGTGGTAAGGTAACCTAGCAAATTTAGATGTGGAATCTCAATATTGGTGGTGGGGCATTGGGCGGCAGGGGGGATGTTGACCCCTGCCTTACAAATGAGGAAGATTGGCATTTTGAGTGTTTTACCCAAATAGCTTCTGAATATTTAGTTTTCCTGTGGGTCCTTTTGGGGCCCAACGTGATATTTAAATGCTGCGGGTATTCAGTGACCTTTTGACTTTGTGGATAGCTTTTCCTCTTGCCCTCCTCTGAACAAGACAGCTCCATTTTATCATAATTGTTCTCATAATTTAGTTCCTGTATTCATCATATAATTATATGATTTTATAACTGTACTTGTAGAGTGTTGCAGTTAATCAGACATACTCTCTAATAGTATAACTTCATGTATGCCACAGATGAAATGCCAGTTTTTAGGAAGTGATCTAGAGAAGTGCTATGGTGAGAGGGTAAGTTTTCAGTGGGGTGTAGGTCTTCATACAGTCATGCATCACTTAAGCATGGGGGGGACATTCTGAGACGTGTGATAGGGCAACTTTGTCATTGTATGCACATCACAGAGTATCTTTCACAAACCTATATGGCATAGACCTTTACACACCTAGGCATATGGTACGGCAGATTGCTCTCACAGCTGTCATATATGCAGCTTGTTGTTCTGTTTTGAGATAGAGTGTCGCTCTGTCACCCAGGCTGGAGTTTAGTGGCACAATTTCAGCTCACTGCAACCTCTGCCTCCCAGGTGCAAGCAATTGTCGTACCTCAGCCTCCCTAGTAGCTGGGATTACAGACGTGCACCACTGTGCCCAGCTAATTTTTGTATTAGTAGTGACAGAGTTTGCCATGTTGACCAGGATGGTCTTGAACTCCTGGCTTCAAGTGATCTGCCCACCCCAGCCTCCTGAAGTGCTGGGATTACAGGCATGAGCCACCGCACCTGGCCTGAAGTTCATTGTTGACTAAAACATCATTCTGCTGTGTATGACTATATCTTTTCCTTGTCCAGTATTAGAAAATTACTATCTATGTAACACTTTCTTTAATGCTGTATGCAAGTAAAATGTAAAGTTGCTAGTATCATTTAAATCAAATGATGGTGGCTCCAGGATGATAGCCTAAAATATTGTGGAATTATGGTGAAATACTCAAAATCTAGAACAAGGTTTTTCAAAAATTCGTAGGAATCACATAGGGTCCCTTTTAAGTTCATAAGAATCACTTGTGGTGCTTGTTAAAGTGATAGATTCCTGGTGCCCTGACCGCTGAGCCCTTAATTTCGTGAATCTAGACTAATTTGCATAGGAGTCATTCCAGGTGGTCACACTTTTGAGACAACAGATGTAGAGTTTCTCAAATTTTAATGCTTGTAAGTCATTCTGGGATCTTATTAAAGTGCAGATTCAAGTTCAGCAGGTCCAGATCAGAACCCGAGACTCTGCAATTCTAACAGGCACCCAGATGATGCTTCGGAAACACTGATTTTGCATCTCACTCCACCACGGGTACCTTTGTATTCCCTTCTATAACTGGCCACCTTTTTGTTATTGACTATATTTATTTGAACTAGGATTTTACTTCCTTTCAGCTCTCTGCTTGATAGAATTGCTTATCTTGTCCTTTTCATTTGTTTCCTTTAATGCATATAGATGGGCACCAGTTGCGTCTTGAAGTGCCATCAGCTGTAACTAAAGTTCCCAATCCCAACACGACAGCCAGGCATTCCTGCCCCCAAGAACTGAAGACCATGGAGCTCTCTGACAGCGACCGACCCATAAGCTTCGGTTCCACGTCGTCCTCGGCCTCTTCCCGGGACAGCCACGGTTCCTTCGGCAGCAGAATGACCTTAGTTTCAAATAGCCATTTGGGCTTGTTTAACCAGGATAAGGAAGCAGGGGCCATAAAACTGGAGCTGATTCCGGCCAGGCCATTTTCCAGCAGCGAGCTGCAGAGGGACAGCCCCGCCACCGGGCAACAGAACGTGGATGAGGGCAGTGAAAGGCAGCCCAGGGCACCATGGAAAGTGGACTCAAACGGGGCACCCAAGACGACCGCAGACTCGGCCACCAGCCCCAAGCTCCTCTATGTGGATAGAGTTGTTCAGGAAATTCTGGAGACCGAAAGGACTTACGTGCAAGATTTAAAAAGCATCGTCGAGGTAAGGCAGACTCTGCTTTTAATGTTTGCCAGGCAGGAGAAATATGCTTGCAAAAGAAACAGCAAAGCCAAGCCAGGTGTAGGGGATGTCTTCTCAGAGGCAGAAGGGATGTGAATGTTTAAAGAGAGAGTAACTTAAGAGAAAACCTAAGGCGGTAACTCACTGTGTTAACATCCTCTTAATATTTGCATTAACAAATTAGTTATGAGGGAGGAGCAAAAATGATGATACTGTGCTCATACCAGTATGATGTGTTAATAAATCCTACACCCACGATCTCAGAGTGACTCACAGTGGGGCAGATGAGGATGGGGGAGGGCTCAGGTCTCCTGGAGCATGAGTGTCAGGTGTATGACTGAACCCCTCAGCTGTCCTTACCTTAATCACCACTCTCTACTGGTGTCTGGGCGCTTCCAAAACTACTGAGACTTGAATCTCACACTCAGCAACTGTGATTTCATTGGCCTGGGTGTGGCTTGGGTGGTGGAATTGTTGAAGATGCACAAGTGATTTTAATGTGCAGACAAGTTTACAGCCACTGCTCTCTTGCTATTCCTGTATTGGTTTGGTTGGTGTTTGGGAAAAGGATTGAAAGAGAAAAGTCATGGACTTTGTCTTGTCTCAATGTCTCCTTTCTGTTCACTTTTTTCTTTTTTTATTTTGAGATGGAGTCTCGCTCTGTTGCCCAGGCTGGAGTGTAGTGGCAAGATCTCGGCTCACTGCAACCTCTGCCTTCCGGGTTCAAGCGATTCTCCTGCCTCAGCCTCCCAAGTAGCTGGGACTACAGGCGTGAGCCACCATGCCCGGCTAGGTTTTTTTTTGTATTTTTAGTAGAGGCGGGGTTTCACCATATTGGCCAGGCTGGTCTTGAAGTCCTGACCTCATGATCCACCTGCCTTGGCCTCCCAGAGTGCTAGGATTACAAGTGTGAGCCACGATGCCCAGCCTCTAGAGGTTCACTTTTACAGAGAGTAATCCTATATAAATTAGTTTGCATAAGTTATTATAATTATAAATTACTTGCGCAAATTATTTCATGTGAATTGAGCTCAGCTTATGTGCCAGGTCACATCCTCTGGAAATTCAGCTATTTGATTTTGATTTCTGGGTCCTTTTTTAAAGGATAAAGCAAGAATTATCAGAGAAGCTCAGATGTTAACTCACTGTCAATTATAGTTAAAAATATTACTATCTCAAGGGTGAATTTATATATTATAAAGCTACGCCTGCCTTGTTGCTTGGTAATACACCAGATTCTTTCATTGGCTGGTACCTGTTTGCTGTTCTAAACGTTGACTCTAGAGTATGTTTCAGAGAACAGTAAGATATTGACAATGAGCACGTTCTCTCCTTCAAATACACTCTCATAGCTTTAGAAAAAGAATTCTAAAGCATGACCATGTGTGATCAGCAATGATAGAAGCAGACCCTGTCTGCTAAAAATAGTTATGATGTACCTTCCCGGTAAAAATAGAAAAGTCAATTGATGGTCAACTAAAACAATATGTGGTATCAAATGTAGAATACAGCAGGCCTGTTTTCAAAAAATTTCAACAATGATGTCATTTGTACTTGAGAAGAAATACCCATAAAACAGCCAAAAAATTGTACAGCCTCTCAGGAAACGTGGTTATTAAAGCTCTCTTTGGTCTATGCTTTTTTTTTTTTTCTCCTTTCTTTCTTGGAAACTTTTCCACCTAATCAAAACTTATCTTACGGAGAGAAACCTTTAATTACTGAACTGGTATTCCATAAACACTTTAATTTTTTTCCTGAGGCTGGTTGATAAACCTTAGGTGAGAAGAAACAGGTAAGAGATGATTGAAAGAAAACAGGCCAGGCGTGGTGGTTCATGCCTGTAATCCCAGCACTTTGGGAGGCTAAGGTGAGTGGATAATGAAGTCAGGAGTTCAAGACCAGCCTGGCCAAGTTGGTGAAACCCTGCCTCTATTGAAAATACAAAAATCAGCCAGGTGTGGTGGTGTGCTAGTCAGGAGGCTGAGGCAGGAGAATCATTTGAAACCGGGGGTGCAGGTTGCAGTGAGCTGAGATCACACCACTGCACTCCAGCCTGGGCGACAGAGTGAGACTCCATCTCAAAAAAAAAAACACAGATAGAGATGGAATTATTTTTTCTCAGAAAATTTCAGGGTAAGTTCTTTGTAAAGCTGTCAGATGTTCTTGCCTTTTTCTCTATTCATGAATCAGCTGTGCTCTACACTAGGGGTTGGTGAGCCTTTTTCTAGGCAAGGCCAGATACTGAATAGTTTCAGACTTACAGGCCCTAAGGTCTTGGTCACAACTGATCAACTCTGCCATTGAAGCTCAAAAGCAACCACATACACTGTGACTTACAGGGCCTGCACGTGCCAGTCCCTCCTTAGAGTCTTGTTTGACCACTAGCCACAGTTCGCTGACCCCTGTCTTAGGCTATAAGTTTGTGCCATGTTTCATCAACTGTCAAATGGAACTAATAAGTAGGACCTCCCTCAGAGGGTTATTATGAGAGTTGGATTAGATAAGGTATAAAAAGCTCTGCAGCCCTGCCTGGCACATAGCAATCAATTAGAAAATGGAAACTACACTCATTGCTATTGCCAGCCTTCTCTAAGTGTGCTAGCTGAGACTGATCACTGTGTATGCTGTGTTTTACCTGAAGTCTTTCACAAAAATAATCAGATTAGAGTTGGTGCAGTGGCTCATGCCTGTAATCACAATACTTTGGGAGGCCGAGGTGGGGGGATCATCCGAGGTCAAGAATTCGAGACCAGCCTGGGCAATATGGTAAAACTCCGTCTCTACTAAAAATACAAAAATTAGCTGGACGTGGTGGTGCACGCCTGTAATCCCAGCTACTCAGGAGGCTGAGACAGGAGAATTTCTTGAACCTGGGAGATGGAGGCTGCAGTGAGCCAAGAGGGTACCGCTGCACTCCAGCCTGGGTGACAGAGCAAGACTGTCTTAAAAAAAAAAAAAACAAAAAATCAGATTAATCAATTCACTGCAGCAGCAATTTAATTAGGAAAAAAAAAACTTGGTGGGTGATTTCAACATTATTATTTTGAATGAAGTTGGACTGTTTCTAATGAACCCACTGGAAATCTGAGGTGGAAATTAGGGGAAAGAGAGGGGCAGAAGGAGGTGGGCGTTGGAAAGAAGGGTGGCTGGGGAGGAAGAGTCCCAAATGAAGAGGGAGGGACTCTGTCAGGAAGAACTGGATGCTTCCGTCTTCCAGAAGTCACTGGAATGCTTTGCATCATTTACCCTGTCCTCCTAGAAAACTTTAGAATTGTTTCCTCTCAGGGATTAGTTGGTTGAAGCCTCTTCATCTAGTTTGGCTATGAGACCGCCTGTTTCTCCAGATCACAGCTTTATCAGAGAGGCTAGACCGCTTTTATCTAGTTCTTTTCTTCATGAAAAGTAAACAGTTATTTTCAAGCCTGTAGTAACTCCACCCAATAAAAGACTGTCATATGGGTATTCTTTTAAAACACAAGAATATCAATTCCTTTAAAATCTGTTTTCCTTGATCTATTTCTAATGTATTTTTATAATTTTGTAAATGACTTTTCTTATGTCCTCCATTTTTCAGTTGCAGAATTTTAAATTAAGGGCTGTTCATTGACAGCCTACTATGATAAAACTTTCACCCTGCCTAAAAGACAGGCTTTTTTTTAGTTGGCACTTTTATTTATCTATTTTGAATTCAGGTCTAACTCTATCACCCAGGCTGGAGCGCAGTAGCATGATTATGGCTCACTGCAGCCTTGACCTCCTGGGCTCAAGCAATCCTCCTGCCTCAGCCTCCCATGTATCTAGGATTACAGGTATACACCAACACAAGGTGCTAAGTTTTTTTTTTTCTTTTTCTTTTTTAAATTTTTGTAGAGACAGGATCTTAATATATTGCACAGGCTGGTCTCAAACTGCTGGCCTCAAGAGATCGCTTTGCCTCGGCCTCCCAAAATGGTGGGCTTACAGGTGTGAGCCACCACGCCCAGCCTTAGCTAGTCCCTTCCAAGCAAAAATAGTTTCTGGGGGAAAAGAAACTAGTCTAATTGAAGTCACCTGTAATTTGTACAGTAGTGTGATTTCTGACTCTGAACACTCTCCTCTCAGCTTACTCACCCCCATTAGCAGTACATTTTATCTGCATGCCATATAGACATATAATCTTCACCACTTAAGTTTAGATTTCATTTTTAGGACTTGTGAACATTTTGTGAAAGATCATTGATATATATATATATATATATATACACTGAGTTAAAAAACATGAACAGGACAGATGATTGACATTTCAACACAGTCCCAAATTTCAGAGCAGCTTATTTCTGAGAAGAGATGCTCCTAACCCCAGTTGAGTAACACGATTACCAGAAGTTGGTTACACGTGTAAAGAGGGTGGTGTGCCCTTCTTTCCCGTATGTGGAGACTTTGTAGTAAAATAGCCTCACATATTCAGGTATTTTTTTTCTTTCCCATGCCATTTAAGAATTCAGAAGTGAATTCCTAATGCTTTCTGAACGTCTAACCCCAAAATGTGGTGGTTCTCATTCCTGTTGTTCTTCATTCTTCCCCAGACCCTTCTCTCTCGACCCCTGTGCCCTTCCAGCCATGGCTCTTCCATACTCTGCTCCTAGTCATTTACTTTTATACACTTGACATTTTCAAGAAAGAGGTAAGATCTCGACTGTGAACTGTAGTCAAAGGAACAATGGAGCTGTTATTTCTATTTTACTTACGCCCCTAACGGCATTCACAGATAAAATGAGATGATAAATATGAAAGCAAGCTTTAAAAGTTAAATGGCCAATGATACAATTTGTGGAGAGACAGACAGAAATCCATAGTTGGAAAGCAGAAAATAAGGGTCTCTTTCATGTTTAATGGGACCTTCGATTGAGCAGGGGCTGTCATGGTTAGGGTGAGTTTCTTTAATCTTTCTAAATGATCTATAAAAGAGCCTTTGAGAACCTCATATGATTTGGCCTCAGATA